GCGGGGTAAGACATTGAATTTGACTTCGTTAACGACGGAGCAATTCATTCTGGAGGCAAGAGCTCTCGCCTGACCCATCGCGCAGCAGGTGTTGGATGTCCGCGCTCATTGCCGGACAAAGGCGCGATCTCTGGTGCAGAGTCCGCTGTGCGATCGAACGCAATCCACCCCGAGCCTTGTCGTCAGAAGGTGCTCCATTTGCGTGTGTGTTGTTGTGTTGTTGTTGTGTTGTTGTTGTGTTGTGTGACAGAACGAGCGGTGTGGAGCGGTAGCACACTCCGCGACAAACCCGGCAATTGCCGTTCGACTCGCGCTCATGACCAACGATAGCGGCAATTATTTTCACTGGTCTCGGGCGTCCCCTAGGTTGACTCAGCCTCAAATGAGTAACCTGGTGCGCTGACCGGGCGTGGTGTAGGCCACCCCCACCTCCTCGCGTGCCGTGCCGACCTCCATAGGTGCTCGCTTACAGGCACTTGCCCCAACAGTCTGTTAAAGACTATACGGGGGATCTCTGCCTTTGGGATGATCGAAGCAATAAAGGGAATCATTGTTATTGGTTTATTCCTCGGATTACGGTTACTGAGTCTCTTTTTCATGAGGGTCCTGCATTGGCGTGCTTGGCCAGTTTCTTTTAGATGTTATTTTTGTTTATATTGTAGCTGCTACTTTATTAACTTACCCATTCGCTTGTCAACAACGGAGACACGTGGTGTATCTCGTGGGCTCTTTCCTGGATTGATAAATATACAGACATGTCTATCTGTACGTCTGTCTAGACGTCTGTCTGCCTGTCTGTGTCTGTCTCGTCGACCTGTCTGAATGTCTGCCTGGCTGTCTGTTTGTATGTCTGTCTCTCTGCATGTCTGTCAGTCTGTCTGCCTAGCTATATGCATGTCAATCTATCTGCCTAGATGTCTGTCTATACGTCTCGCCGCCTGGGAATATGTCTACCTGGTTGTCTGTCAGTACGAGATGTCTGTCTGCCTGCCCATCCATATGATATTATGATAGGAAGGAATGGCACAAAATCAGTTCTCTTGTTTATTCCTTGAGATCCGCGTTTCCAGGATTTAATTGCAGCCTGGGCTCAAGTGAGTCAATTACGGCGTCGCGGATGATTTACTAAAATTAATGGAGTGAGTTTTTTTAAAGATTTATTTTGGGAAATGTGTCTACACGTGTGTGTGTGCGTGTGTGGTGCCTGTGCGTACGCTTGTGCGTAGGCATCGGGTGTGTACGTGTGCGTGCCCGAGTTTGTTTCCAGCTCACAGCCAGCATCAGTCACACATATCTGAACCGGTCCTGGGCTTCCCCTATGTCGACTCAGCCTTGAATGATGGTCAAGTGCAGTGTGTAGCACATCAGCACTGGCGAGACAAAGGCGGCGGGGGGCCTGGGGTGGCCAGCCACCGCCTTCTTTGTATGCCGTGTCGATCTTAATAAGTGCTCGCAAACAGCACTTACCACAGGAATCTGTTAAGGCTATAGGGGTGATCTTTGTCGTTGTGTGTACGTGGGTGCATGTTTGTGTACATACTGTGTACAATGCCAAAGAGGAGTGGTGGTACATTGGTTGGCGCCGGGCAACGCGGCGACAATGCTAGGTCGCGGTTATCAGTGGCGACTTTCTGAACCGGTCATGGTCCTCCCCTAGGTCAACTCAGCCTTAAACGAATACCTACTGCCCTAACACATCAGCACTGGGGAGACAAAGCCCGGCCGGGCATGGTGTTGACCACCCACCCCATTCGTCTGTCGTCCCGGCCACCATAAGGTCTTCCCTTAATAGCACTTGCCCCCACAGCCTGCGGGAGGTGGAGGGGGGACCTTTGTCTTTGCGTACGCGCGTGTCAGATGCCATCCCTCGGGTGATTAACTCATCCCCAGCGCAATCAGGAGCGCCACTTAGGGACGGCTGACACTTGGACTCTCACCTATAACCCTTCTGATCCTCGGCCACATTTCATTTCCTAGGGCGTCTCCCCTCCCAGCAAAAGCACCCCCGCCAGCTGTGACCACCGATGGAATATTTTACCAAAACAAATAACGTTTCCCATTATTGGAAATTTAGCACACACACAGGAGCCATGGCCCTTCGGCCTGACTTACAAACGCCCAAACGGCACGAAATGAAAATTGCGTGTGTGACATTATAGGCGCTCGCCGATAACAACTGCTCAGCCCTTTCACCGCTCACGTCGATTCACGTCTCCACATCCCAAATGTTTATTCTACTTGTTAAACAGTTACGTGATTACGCATTGATTATTGCGTAACGATGCATGAGTCATTTCCAGCTCTTTTTGCGAGTTGTATTGATTCAGGCTTTTTTTTTTTGCTGGGCACATCTTCTGAATGTTGCGATCTCAGAAGTTGAGCAGAGAGTTGAGCCTGGTTAGTAATCGCATGGGTGACCACCATCGCCAGAGCTTGCCAGGTGTTATAGGCGTCGGACTACAAATGTGGCCAGTAGATGGCAGTGTTGAGTGTCACCCAGTCGGATGTTCGCGTGGGTGGGTTTTCTCCAGGTTCTCTGGTTCGTCTCCGCAAAGCAAATACTCAAATACTCACCCATTCAAAGATCAGCTCAAGGCCCTCACCCATTCAGGCTCTCACTCATTTAAGCTGTCACCGATTCAGCTTCTCACCAGGCTGAGGATTCTCACCCGTTCACTCTCTCACCCATGCACAGTCTCACCTGTCCAAGCTGCCGTTCTCTATTGAACATGGCATCCGATCCGCGATATCTGTGCGCGTTATGAATCGTGTTTATTATTATTGTTGTTGCTGTAGTTCTTAACGGCATTAGCCAAACATCCTAACGTAGCAGCACCCTCCTGAAGAGAGAGTATTGAGTGGCTTGCCTGGGTAATTAATCGTCAGTTTATTGTATTTGCACGCACAGTAAATGTCAATGTTTTTCACCTTACGCCGGCCTTTGAGTTTATAATCCGCCACGAACCTCAAATATCGCTTGGCAATTTTGCCGATGCAGATGAGAAAATGCGTGTTGTATTTAAATACACGTTCGTATCAGTTGACGTTCAAGCAGAGTGGGACTGGTCGCTCTGTATTAAACAAGCGGGACTTTAACGATAACCACCACCCCGACCACACAGCGCCAAGAACGTGCATCGTTCCACTAGGCCCGCAATGGACTCAATCAGCTATAATAATCATCACATGGCTCACAGACGTATGACTGGACGCGTAATTAACACATACACGCACTGTGCTTGCCATATGCTATAGCAGGCATCTTCAGTACGTGCTAATCTACAGCCTCACCTCCGAAGTTTCACGCGCATGCCTCTAGAGCAGAGGTCGGCAAACCAAAACAACAAGCGAAGACATTTTTTGTCGAATTCGCAACAAAAAAAACTCAATATGTCAAGAGCCGCAATGCACGGTGTGGTGAATACGAGACGGTGGACCTAAATAAACAACGTGACGAACACTGGGGGAGCCAGTGTGGGGGGGGGGGGTGGCACGTTCCCCCTCAATGATCCGATCGAAATCCCTCATTTCGATCGGATCATTGGGGTTTATTAGTAATAAATCGGCATTTTGCGACCCCCATTGCCACTGTGTAGTATATTATTATGTGCCAGGGACTCTATGAGATGATAGGACAATAGTCTGAGTCCATAATTGGCAATAAGTAACGGCAAAGCAGTTATTAGTGACTCACAGAATTGTGCGCAGTTGCGTATACAGTCCACGACTTCCCTGAAGGCATTCACCTTCAGCGAGCGCGATGCCGATCACACAACGCGGTTCGAATTCGACCCTCGATCGATGGCTGCGCCATCGCCGCACACGCGTCGTCGAATAAAAAGCAAGGGACAAGTCCTTACTTACTAACAACTCCTGGCATTGTTCATTGCTGGAGGGGGTTGCCCCCTCTACCTGAAAATCCTGGCTCTGCCATTGGTGACGAAGCAGTGCCTAGAAGAGCCGCAGGTTTTCCCACTCCTTGCCCAATGTGTAACACAAGTAGGAGGAGGCTGTCGCGACCAATTTCATCCACAATACAGGGTTTTTTTGGGGTTATATCGCATACATTTACGCGTACTTTTTTACACGTATATTCACATTTGGGCTACGCCCATTTTAAACCTTTATGAACAGTTTGCCTTTAGAAGCTCACCCCCTTTTCCTGAAGACGACCGATTGTGTTGCGATCGAAACGTCGTAGTTTCTTGTTATTTTCTTTGAACCTATCTACGTGACTTTACCGAAAGACCCAAAGAATATGTAATTGCGTTGTCGTGCTTAATTTGCGATGCGACGATTTACATTATAAAATAAGCATAACCAGTAAAAACAAAGTTTTTCACTATAAATCCTTTATATGCATGGCGGCTAGAGTCCTCTCGTCCTCTGGCTTGAGATGGCTGCCACCTATGGGTCAGATGATTGTCTGCCAGTATTAAGCAATTGGTAATTAAATATTTAATTTGTTTTCCCTAAACAGTGTAAAATTTTGGAGAAAAAAAATTCACGAACATTAATTGTCTCGTACAACGAGTCTGTGTGGAAAATGTCAGCTCGATTGGATCACGGGAAGTGGGTTAAAAAACGACCGAAAGATTGGCACGGTCGTAAGCAAGCAAGCAAGCACGCAAGCAAGCGAACTTAATATAAAGGATTTAAAAAAAACTGGCAATGTATCACACTCCCCAGAAAGGGCATCTCGCACCCCAGAGGAGACAACGTGCACCCCTGGTTAAGAAGAACCACTGCTCTGGAACATTCGCGTAGCGTGCCTACGACGTTGACCATCGCTGAACATTGCCCACGATTCACACACGCGGATCGGGAAACGTGGACGTAGACAAAAGGGAACAAAAAAGTACAGTACGCATTAAAGCGTCGAGACGCAATGTGAGCGATTGCACCGACAATAGCAAATGGAGATGGAACGACGCGCGGGCTGGATCGTCGAGAGTCGTCGTCTTGACCGAGGGCGCCTCTTGCGTTTGCGCGCTACGCAGGCTCCGTGGCGACCACAGCAGGGCAGGGCCCCGTGTTTGTGGAGGAGCCGGGGGACGTCCTGCACCAGCTGGAGGGGGGTGGCAACCGTCAAGTCGCCCTGCGGTGCAACGCGAGCGGGACCCCTCCGCCCACATACAGGTGCTGCCTGCCACACCCACGGAGCCCCACACTGAGCTGCATGTGCCTCTTAGACCCACAGAGACTCACACTGAGCTGCAGGTGCCTCTTAGACCCACAGAGACTCACACTGAGCTACCGGTACCTCTTAGACCCACAGAGACTCACACTGAGCCGCAGGTGCCTCTTAGACTCACAGAGACTCGCACTGAGCTGCAGGTGCCTCTTAGACTCACAGAGACTCACACTGAGCTGCAGGTGCCTCTTAGACCCACAGAGACTCACACTGAGCCACCAGTGCCTCTTAGACCCACAGAGACTCACACTGAGCCGCAGGTGCCTCTTAGACCCACAGAGACTCACACTGAGCTGCAGGTGCCTCTTAGACCCACAGAGACTCACACTGAGCCACCAGTGCCTCTTAGACCCACAGAGACTCACACTGAGCCGCAGGTGCCTCTTAGACCCACAGAGACTCACACTGAGCTGCAGGTGCCTCTTAGACCCACAGAGACTCGCACTGAGCTGCAGGTGCCTCTTAGACTCACAGAGACTCACACTGAGCCACAGGTGCCTCTTAGACCCACAGAGACTCACACTGAGCCGCAGGTGCCTCTTAGACTCACAGAGACTCGCACTGAGCTGCAGGTGCCTCTTAGACTCACAGAGACTCACACTGAGCCGCAGGTGCCTCTTAGACTCACAGAGACTCACACTGAGCCGCAGGTGCCTCTGAGACTCACAGAGACTCACGCTGAGCCACAGGTGCCTCTGAGACCCACAGAGACTCACACTGAGCTGCAGGTGCCTCTTAGACCCACAGAGACTCACACTGAGCTACAGGTGCCTCTTATACCCACAGAGACTCACACTGAGCTACAGGTGCCTCTTATACCCACAGAGACTCACACTGGGCTAAAATATATCCCTGCTGCAAATCTGGGTCGATCAGGTTTGGCAGACAAAGCAAAAGACGAAGATCTCAATAATAGCCTTGAACAGACTGTTGGGGCAAGTGCCGTAGCGAGCACCTCATAAGGCCATCACGATCCACGAGAAGGTGGTGGTGCCCGAACCGCGCCCGGCTGCCTTTGTCTCCCTAATACAGATATTTGTACATCGCATTCGGTAGTCATTAAGGTTGAGTCAACCTAGGGGAGACCAAGAACCGGTCCAGATATTAGTCACCGATTTTGACCGTGAGCGGGAATGGAACTCAGGTTACCGGTTTCGTAGCGCGCTACGCTAACCACTGCACCACCGCTCCCCACATGGTAGACAGACACAAAGACAAAGATCTCCCCTATAGCATGAACAGACTGTTGGGGCAAGTGCTGTTAGCGAGCACCTATGAAGGCCGTCAGGGCACACGAGGGGGTGGGTGGCCAGCACCACGCCCGGCCGCATTTGTCTCCCGAGCGGCGAGTACTACACATCGCACGAGGTACTGTTTTTAAACTGAGTCGACCTAGGGGAGACCCAGGGACTGGCGCAGATTTTCGTCACCGACGCTGGAATGCGACTCGGGTCACACCGCATGTTTAACACACTGCGCTAACCACTGCGCCACCACTCCCTTCACAGCAGACATACACACGCACACACACACATACATGTGTCGGTGTAGAGCGGTCCTCCCTCTCTCTCTCTTGAGACTGCCTCTGGCGATGAAGAAGCCCTGAACCACCATCACCTGCTGCCACGGGTTTTCATGGAAATTCGCAAACTCTTGTGCGGTTTCAGACGCTTCGCCAATATTTTTCGGCGGATTAATTTAAATCCACCTTCGCCTGTTTATATTTAAGCAGAAATGGGATTAAGCAGAGTGCTCTTAAACGGGATTTGTGTCCGTTATTTCCTAAGTGCGGGGCACAGTTATGCATATCTTGGCCGGAGTTCTTAATTTTTTTTTCTTTTATTTTTTTTTACGATCAGTGGAAACAAGAAGATGCTCGGTGTAGTCGGCACTTTGCTTCGTTCATCATCTCGTAATTTTGTTTTTTTTATAATAACTTTGCTTTATGCAAACCCCCACCTCTCGCTCACTCTCTCACTCACTCTCATTTCGGCGCGTCTCGCTGATGAATCAAATGCGGCGTTCGCAGGAGCCCCTCGCTAATCGATTAAAAGAGTCAGCAGCGTGCGGGAAAGGCGAGACAAATAGAGGATTGGCCGGAGTTCAAATGTGGGCCTTGAATGCCATTCTGTGACTGCAGGCTGAGCTTATTGCAAAGTACATGTTTATATTTCATCCTTTCTCCCAATTATTTCCCAATTTGCGCTCGCTCTCGGTGCCGTGTCATTAAAAAGATAATGAATGCAGAATCCCCCCGACGACCAGTGTGGCCCCTCCACCACCGCCACGTGTTAGAGGAAATTGATATCACAAAACTACTTCTGAGATCTCTTAAAGGGAACTCTGGTCCAACCAGCAAGGGTCACGTTTGTCGTATGACGGTCCAACGATGTTGTTAATATCTCAGAGTTCTAGATTTGAAGCTTTCGTGACTGCAAGGATTTATACTCTATGGTTTTTTCGGTAAAGTCACGTCGGTAAAAAGGTAAAAGTAAAAAAAAATGAAAACTAAATTTAATTACGACGTTTCGGAGGCAACACAAGCTTCCGTCTTCAGGTGGAACCGTCACAGCCAAAGTCACTTGCTCCGAAACGTCGTGATTTAATTTAGTTGTTTACATTTATTTTATTTCATTTTATTTTGTACCTACGTGACTTTACCGAAAAAACCAAAGAGTATAATATCTCAGAGGTAGACTTTAAACAAATGAAATTGCATAGACAAATTTCATGTGGTAGGTTCTTTTTTTACAGGCTTTCATCGGTTTAAAATGTGATGGGATTCCATTGGCGACTGGGACAGAGACCATTACGTAATGACTGCTCACACGCAATGACTGCTCTGCTGCGGGTGTCTTTCGTGGTGAAGGTGATGGACACTTACAGTCTGCGATGGTTGGGAGGGAGCGGGACACAACGCGACAATGGCACAATTAAGCGATGGGCGTTCTAAGCCGTTCCTAGCGCACTCACGGCGGGTGAAAGCCGAATGCACGATAGACACACACGCAGATTGCAGCATCATTACGTTGTTGTTTGTCTCACACGGTCTGTGCCATCCTGCCCCCCCCCCCCCCCCGCCACCTTTAGATTGTGGTGCCCCCCCCCACCACACTTTAAAATAGGTCACATTATGGGGGCTGGTTTTATTCCCATCTGAGAGCCGGAACTTCACACTCTCCCTGCCTCTTCCCTCGCTGTCTCCACCTCCAGGTGGTTCTCCAACGGCTCCGAGGTGGAGCTGACCGACGGCCGCCACTCGGTGCAGGCCGCCGGCACCTTGGTGGTGGCCACGCGCAGGAAGGGGCGCACCGCCACGGCCTACAGCTGCCTGGCCGCGAACCGCCACGGCGCCGTGCGTAGCCGCACCGCCCTCGTGCTCCCGCAGTGTGAGTCACCCTCGCTAGCTCGCTCGCTCACTCACTCGCTAGCCCACTCACTCATCCGCCAGCTCACTCACCCGCTAGCTCACTCACCCACTCACTCATCCGCTCGCTCACTCACCCGCTCACTCACCCGCTCGCTCACTCACTCACCCGCTAGCCTGCTCACTCACCCGCTCGCGAGCCCGCTCACTCACCCGCTCGCTCACTCACTCACCCGCTAGCCCGCCCACTCACCCGCTCACTCACTCACTCGCTAGCCCGCTCACTCACCCGCTCGCTCACTCACTCACTCGCTCGCTAGCCTGCTCACTCACCCGCTCACTCACTCACTCGCTAGCCTGCTCACTCACCCGCTCGCTCGCTCACTCACTCGCTAGCCCGCTCACCCGCTCACTCACTCATCCGCTCGCTCACTCACTCGCTCGCTCACCCGCCCGCCCCCTCGCTCACTCACCCGCCTGCCCCACTCGCCCATTCACTCTCCTACCGCTTGCTCATCCGTTTGTTCAGCCACCCACACTCGCAGGCTCGCTCGCTCACCCGCCCGCTCGTCTCACTTGACGGCACATCGCCCGGAGCACTCGTTCGCCCCCCTCCCTCTCCCACTCCACTCCCCCTGCCCACTCCCCCTCCCAACGAATAAGGACCCCCCACTGGTCCATCCATCTCAGCTCTCTCGTCGTTCACAACACGCAGCCTTCGCGTGACGGCGCGCTCCCTTGAAGCGTGGTTGTTGGGTTTTTTGTTGCTTGGCGCAACTACACGACGAGTCGCGGCGCCCTGGGGAGCCACTTTATCACCACAAAGTTCAGCCACCTGCGAGCACCCCGTTCCCTCGCCTCGGGCTCAGGCAATTGACCGGCTATTAGGTGGCCACCAATCTCCACAAATTGTGGGGGGGGGGGGGGGCGGGGGGTAGTTTAGGTCAACTCTGTGATGCTCGTTAGGGCCCGCCACACTTTTGTCGCCTGATTGCAAATTGTCAGGGGCCGCCTGCGGAGAGCGATTGCCGGCGATGCTTCGAGTGCCAGCGAAATTGTTGAAAATGGCTCTTTGGAAAGTTGCAATCAATGTAAAGTGGGCCTTGATAGCTGATTATTTAAAAAGACATATAAATAAATATATATGTACGACGAGCGAGAGACGAAGATTGCCAAGGACTGTGGTGGAGCTCCGTGCAGCCGTCGGGACAGACGTCTCGACCGCCTCGTTCACTCTGCCTCTTAAATGAAAAATGCACCCCATCGATTTACGCCGTTGCATTTTTAATATTTAGATCCTCTTAAACGCATGTTCGGTATTTATATATATTTTTTCTCTAACCGCTGTTTATTAATGGTTAGAGAGAGAAGAGAAGAAAAAAAAACACATCCGGCCGCGTGGTTGGTCGAGCGATAAGAGCGAGCGGCTCACAATCGGAAAGTAGCGACTTTCAAATCTTGTTTGGGGGGCGGGGGAGGGGGGTAGACTCGGCACACATCCCCTCTGGGCTCGCTCAGAATGTCTACCACTTTGTTCCAGAGATGTCAACATTTCGAGTTAAAGCTTTCGTGACTGCAGGGATTCATCTTCTTGGTTCTTTCGGTAAAGTCACGTAGAATGGAAATAATAAAATAATAAAAATAAAACAATAAAATAATTCTCACGTTTCGGCCACAACGCAAGTCTCTGTCTTCTCGACAGACCTGTTCTCCACCTGAGGACGGCTGCTTGCGTTGTGGCCGAAACGTCGTGAGAATTATTTTATTATGTTTTATTTTTATTATTTTATTATTTCCATTCTACGTGACTTTACAGAAAGAACCAATAATATGTCAACATTGTCTATGGATAAACTCGCCCCCGTCAAGGGAATGTGGAATTGCAACTTCTGGAGATGAGCATAAATGCCCCAATGCTCATTTTAGCGGGGACTCTCTTTGACTTTTTGTTTCTAAAATTAATGTGTTGCCTTAAGTACTTTGCTAATGTGAAGCCATCGATGTAACAGACTGGTTCAGGAGAGTGTACCACGTGTTGTCGAAGACGCTCCCAGCAGCACGTGGAGTGAAACGTCGGACATCGTGCCCCAACAACGACACTGTGACACAACCCCAAAACACGACGGAGATCCAGCCACATACTGTAGCACAGCAGCCGCAAAGAACAAAGACGGTCACTGCATCGCATGCTTTCAGATGCGCTGCTGTGTCCGTCTGGAACGCTCTCTTCCATCGGATATTAGGAAGCCACTGGAGCTGTGCACTTTTAAATCCGAATTGAAAACTCATTTCCTCGGAACTGCGTTTTGTGTTTAGTGTTGTTGTCCTTCCCCCGCACCACCGATTAGCACGGTTGGCTACATACGGTGGAAAATAAGTTCAAGGTACATACAAAGACAGCCTGCGCAGTTCAAACAACTCCAGTCATCCCACCGCGGTGCTGCTCGAGGATGGGAACAATTCTGTGGCCCGAAATATGACAACGATAATAATACCAGCAAACCATCCACGTTAATTAAACCAATGCCCGGCACAGAATACTAATTCCACCGCGGTGCAGTGAAACGCAGTCTAACGAAACCCCTCAATTTGCGGCGTGTAAAATCAATGCCTCCCCCGTTTCCAGATGACCTCCCCATCGCGCCCTGAGAAACCACACCAGGGTCGCAAACGGGTACCCGTACCCTACCTGATGCCTGGCTACCCGTACCCGGCCGGGTATCGGGTAGGGTATGGGTATCGGGTAAGGTACGGGTACGGGTAGGGTACGGGTAGGGTATCGGGTACCCGATTGCGACCTCTGGGATGAAGCCATGTTGCAGGCGCAGGTGGGTTGATTCCAGGAACTTGAATTGTGAGAAGAGACAAGACGTTGGCAAATGAGTGACAAACGGTTACTCACCAGTGACTCACGGCTTACCCGTACCCGTACCCAGCCGCACCAGGGTACGGGTATCGGGTACCCGGTTGCGACCTCTGAACCGCGGTGAATGAACACCGGACTACCAGAGCGCGCACGCGACAGATCGTGTTGGCGCCAGGCAAGGAGAGACAAAGGGGGTTGGGATTGCGTAGCGCTCGTCATCAATCCTTTGCGGAGTGCGAACACAAAAACTCCGCAAGGGACAACTGTGGCAACGAAGTCAGCACCCGAAAGTTGCTCGCTGCATATTCTTGGCTCTTTCGGTAAAGTCGCGTAAATAGAAAACAAAAATTCTAAAATAAAAGCAAAAAGCCCACGTTTCGACCGCAACACAAGCAGTCTTCATCCGCCTGATCCGCCTGATGAAGACTGCTGGTGTTGCGATCGAAACATCGTGGGTTTTTTGTTTTATTTTTTATTTTATATCTACGTGACTTTACCGAAAGAACCAAGTAGATGAATTCCTGCAGTCACGAAAGTTTTAAGTCTAAATCTGCTCGCTACATATTTAGCAAAAAGTGAGCCACGTTAACTTCTTTAATTGAATAATTATTTCAAGCCCCATTCATTGTCATTGTATTGCTGCATTGCCGTGACCATGACCTTCACCGTCCACGTGTATGACAGCGGCTCTGGCCTTGAAACGTGTGCCGATGCACCCGCGCGCACGTCCGTGTGTGTGCGCGCGAGGAGCGGTGGTGCAGCGGTTAGCGCGCTGCGCTACGAGCCCGACCCCATCCGACTTCAATTCTTGCTCACGTCCAACCTCGGTGAAGGGGATCTGAGCCGGTGCTGGGCCTCCCCGATGTCGACTCAGCCTTAAATGAGTTACCTGGTGCGGTGTGTAAACATCATTGGAGAGACAAAGGCGGTCGGGCGTGGTGCTGGCCACCCACCCCCTGGTATGCAACGTCAGTCTTCATGGGTGATACTCGCTAACAGCACTTGCCCCATCAGTCTGTTAAGGCTACATGGAGCGGTCCAGTGGGATCTTGTCGTTGTTGCGTGTGTGAGTGTGGTTCTGGCCTTACAACTACACTAGGGGACGCTGGCCTACATAGGCACTCGCTAACTCATTTCTTTAGTCATAACAAAGGTTTTTGGGTTAGGTTGCGTAAGTATAAATGTGTCGTAACCCTCCATCACCCGACACAGCCGTAAGGTTTGTCACGTAAACAACGCACCAACTGGTTACTGCTTCAGCCCACCGGTTGTGTTGGAGAGCAAATCCACAGTCTTTACAATTTGAATATTACAAATATTATTGGTCGCGAAAGCCGACGTGGTAAACTCGTTTCTAGACTCATACAGAGACCCATAAACCCACACAGAGACCCATAGACTCACACAAAGACCCATAGACTCACACAAAGACCCATAGACTCACACAGAGACCCATAGACTCACACAGAGACCCATAGACTCACACAGAGACCCATATACTCACACAGAGACCCATAAACTCACACAGAGACCCATAGACTCACTCAGAGACACATAGACTCACACAGAGACCCATAGACTCACACAGAGACCCATAGACTCACACAGAGACCCACAAACTCACACATAGACCCACAGACTCACAGAGAGACCCATAGACTCACACAGAGACCCATAGATTTACACAGAGACACATAGACTCACACAGAGACCCATAGACTCACACAGAGACCCATAGACTCACACAGAGACCCATACACTCAAACAGAGACCCATAGACTCACACAGAGACCCATAGACTCACACAGAGACACATAGACTCACACAGAGACCCATGGATTCACACAGAGACCCATAGACCCACACAGAGACCCATAGACTCACACATAGACCCATAGACCCACACAGAGACCCATAGACTCACACAGAGACCCATAGACTCACACAGAGACCCATAGACCCACACAGAGACCCATAGACTCACACAGAGACCCATAGACTCACACAGAGACCCATAGACCCACACAGAGACCCATAGACCCACACAGAGACCCATAGACCCACACAGAGACCCATAGACTCACACAGAGACCCATAGACTCACACAGAGACCCATAGACTCACACAGAGACCCATAGACTCACACATAGACCCATAGACCCACACAGAGACCCATAGACTCACACAGAGACCCATAGACTCACACAGAGACCCATAGACCCACACAGAGACCCATAGACTCACACAGAGACACTCACACATAGACCCATAGACCCACACAGAGACCCATAGACTCACACAGAGACCCATAGACCCACACAGAGACCCATAGACTCACACAGAGACCCATAGACTCACACAGAGACCCATAGACTCACACAGAGACCCATAGACTCACACAGAGACCCATAGAGCCACACAGAGACACTTACACATAGACCCATAGACCCACACAGAGACCCATAGACTCACGCAGAGACCCATAGACTCACACAGAGACCCACAGACTCACACAGAGACCCATAGACTCACAAAGAGACCTATAGACTCACACAGAGACCCATAGACTCACACAGAGACACTTACACATAGACCCATAGACCCACACAGAGAGCCATAGACTCACACAGAGACCCATAGACTCACACAGAGACCCATAGACTCACACAGAGACCCATAGACTCACACAGAGACCCATAGAGCCACACAGAGACACTTACACATAGACCCATAGACCCACACAGAGACCCATAGACTCACACAGAGACCCATAGACTCACACAGAGACCCATAGACCCACACAGAGACCCATAGACTCACACAGAGACCCATAGACTCACACAGAGACCCATAGACTCACACAGAGACACGCGCGTAACGTTGGAGCGATCTCTTTGCTCCTCAGACCTGGACCCGTTCCCCGTGGAGGAGAGAGACCCGGTGTACGTGCGCCTCCACGCGGGGCTCGTCTTGGTGTGCGCACCCCCTCCACACTCGCCCGGTATGGCACCGCTGCACTGGCCTCGCGCGGACCAGTGTGTCACAGTTCTACTGACCTCACATGGACCAGTGTGTCACAGTTCTACTGACCTCACATGGACCAGTGTGTCACAGTTCTACTGACCTCACATGGACCAGGATGTCATAGTTCTACTGACCTCACATGGAACAGTGTGTCACAGTTCTACTGACCTCACATTAACCAGTGTGTTACAGTTCTACTGACCTCACATTAACCAGTGTGTCTCAGTTCTACTGACCTCACATGGACCAGTGTGTCATAGTTCTACTGACCTCACATGGACCAGTGTGTCACAGTTCTACTGACCTCACATGGACCAGTGTGTCACAGTTCTACTGACCTCACATTAACCAGTGTGTCACAGTTCTACTGACCTCACATGGACCAGTGTGTCATAGTTCTACTGACCTCACATTAACCAGTGTGTCACAGTTCTACTGACCTCACATGGACCAGTGTGTCATAGTTCTACTGACCTCACATGGACCAGTGTGTCATAGTTCTACTGACCTCACATTAACCAGTGTGTCACAGTTCTACTGACCTCACATGGACCAGTGTGTCATAGTTCTACTGACCTCACATGGACCAGTGTGTCATAGTTCTACTGACCTCACATTAACCAGTGTGTCACAGTTCTACTGACCTCACATGGACCAGTGTGTCATAGTTCTACTGACCTCACATTGACCAGTGTGTCACAGTTCTACTGACCTCACATGGACCAGTGTGTCATAGTTCTACTGACCTCACATTGACCAGGATGTCACAGTTCTACTGACCTCACATGGACCAGTATGTCATAGCGATATTGACTTCACGTGGACCAGTAAGTCATAGCTCTACTGGATTAACATGCTCACCTACCCACTCATAGGACCGGTAATGTGATGTTTGTACCGGGTTGACATGGACCAGCCTATCCAATACTGATGGAAAGACAGACACGGTATGAACAAACACTTCTACACCACAACGCTTCCGCAGCGCGACGCTTCGGAGACGATTAAATTGCACAATGCCGCTTGCAGGCTCATGCAGGGAGCTGTGCACGATTTTCTTTTAAAAATAAAATATCCCCAACTCTGCCACCAAAACTAAAAAGCGAGGAGAATCATCGCGAGGTCCAGCGCAACACAATTCCGTTATTGGACTGCACTACGCCCCCACTTCTGTGCTGCCCCCCCCCCCGCCTCCGCCAATCCACGCCGACCGGCCGTGACGAGGTGCGGTCACGTGACCACCACGTGACCACCACGTGCGACGTGGGGAAGAGGGTCCTCGTTCAGCACCCGCTGGCTGATGCGCCGCCGTCGAGGCAACATTGGGGGCCGTCCATAAATGACGTCACGCACCTGGGGGGGGGGGGGGTTCAGACATTTGTGACGATGTGTGACGAATGGGGGGGGGGGGGTTGAGAAATGTGACGTCACATCAAAATGCGCAACTTTAAATAAATATAGAATTGTTATAACAACACTAATTGTTATAACAACACTCCTACAACATCAGAGCGCAGCGCCACATTAAATACGCACTGCAATGACAATAGTTTAAAGCGATTTGAAGCATGTTTTATTTTCAAAATGGAAATATGGTTTTTGGGGGGGGGGGGGCAGAGCTTTGTGACGTCATATTTGAGGGGGGGGGGTCTGACTTTTTGTGACGCCGTGTGACGAGGGGGGTGGACGGGGTCAAAAATCGTCCAAAATCGCGTGACGTCATTTATGGACGGCCCCTTGCCACCTTTACCGCCGGCGTTAATTGACGTCTCGCCGACTTTGAATGTCACGCGCTCCAATTAAAACCCTCCACCTCACCTCGCCGCACCGCGCCTCAACCTCCCCTTCCTCGCGCCTTGCCTGCGTTTTGACGCCTTCGGATGCGTGCCGTTCCCGGGCGCCAACGGGGGGAGTGAAATTGGGGGGCCCCATCGCTACTCCCCTCCAACCCCGCCCCCCCCCCTCCCCTCTCAGCTGTTGCCACCAAAACGAGAGGGGACGTTTGTGAAAACATTTTAATTGGTGAATACATTTTCGTTACTCGCTGCGGAGCCGCGCTTTTGATTCAACGTGGGGTGAGTTTGGTACACTGCCGCAGTTATTAATGAATTGCGATGTTTGTCATTGTCTTTCATGGTCATCATCGGCAGCAGCAACGTAATTGTCATCGTCATCATCATCGTCACCATCGTCATCATTAGCAGCAATATCATCGTCAGCCACAGCAAAAGCAACGTAGTCATCATCAATGTACGCGATCTCGCCCAAAAATCACTTACAAATCCTAATATTGGTGGCGGACGCCTGCTCCGCGTTGAATGTTGATGATCATTGTCATCAGCCGCAGCGATAACATCAGCAGCAGGAGCAGCAGCACGAGTAGCAGAAGCCACAAATCGCGGCAGCGGTCACGCGTTTTGCTCCAATTCCACAAATCTCTCACGAAGGGTCGTGTGTGTGTGGGGGGGGGGCATCCACCCCAAACAGGGGAAAGGAGGTGGGGTGCGCCAGCGGCAATGATTCGTAGCCCACTATCGATCCGCGATGGAGCGGTGCGTCACCGCCTGATACAAAAATAAATCAGCCGACGACCGTAAGATTCGTCCGGCTTTTGTTCACGCTCCAGAGGGTTTTTTTTTGTGTTCCACCGCTCAGCGGAAGCACTTGCACGTGCGGAGCCGACGGCTTTCGGTGTTTACTTTTCTCACTCTTTTTTTAGTTATTCCGACTTTGCTCTCGGCGTCGTGCCGCCGGACGACCGCCAACATCCCGCGCCGTGTTGGGGAACGGCCCACGGGAAGTAGACGTGGCGGAACTAGTTCTGAGACCCATTTAGGTGACCGTTAGGCCTCACCAAGAGATGATTCATTCTTGCATGGCAGTCAAACTGATGCTTTTACTTTAGCCAAATTAAGTGAAAAACGAAAACAAATTTATGTTGTTAATGGATTTTTTTGTGAAGTCGTTGGTGACCAGACTGACGATTTTTATCGCGTGTTATTTTGCATGGTTCTTGCAAAATAAAGTGAAAACATTTGCAGGAATGCACTATCACCTGAAGAATTGTATTGACCTGGTTTATTGATTCCAGTAGTAATTAGCCAAACATCCGAGGCAGGAACAAATCTTGCAAATGATTTCTTTTCAGTATCGGTGTGACGTTCGCCCGTAAATAGTTAACGTCATCGTTAATATTTCAGTTTATGTCACTGCTCTCAACGCCAGAGGCTTTAAGTTAAACCGGACCGTGCGTATAATGATTACATTTTTATTTGGTAAAATTCTGGCTGCACTTTTATTTTTGAGACGCACTTTTATTTTCTAGCATTCAATATATTAACCAGTTAAATGCAACTTATTGATATCAATAATGTTAATGCCCTTTACCCAGGAAAGATTTTCATTGAGTCTCAAGCCTCTTTTTGATGAGGGTCCTGCTACATTGGGACGTTTGGTCATGAATGCCACGTGCAGTGAACGTTTGGCCTCGCGCGGGAGAAAACCGGCGAACCCAGAGAAATCCCACCGTGCACACGAGGGGTAAACACCGTCCAAGCTCCGCAAAGATGGATTTAATAATTCATGTCTGCACTTCCGTCTCTTGGTCACCTCGCAGCTAAGTTGTTCATGCGAACGAAATGTATCTCTCAAAAGCATTGAACGATCTCACACAGACGTAGCTTATACTGGTAGCAACCTCCTGGTTACACTAGCCCACAGGGGATTATTGTGTCCGTCGTGTAGGGAGGGGCTGGGTGGGGAGGGAGAGGCGGGGTGGGGTGGGGAGGGTGGGGAGGGGCTGGGTGGGGAGGGGCTGGGTGGGGAGGGTGGGGCTGGGTGGGGGGTGGGAGGGGTGGGGCTGGGTGGGGAGGGGCTGGTCACCCCGTGGTGCCCTTATAAAACTCAACGTTTAACCTACTCACGCCGGCTTGTGCCCGCCCTCACAGTCGGGCATATTTGCGGAATACACCACGCCGCCGTTGACCCTGGCCATTGACCGAGCAACCCAACGTTCCTACCAGCTCCCTCCGCAGGAATGTGTTTCTCTCAAATGTCTTGCTTAAAACCTGTTGCATCGACCTGAATTAAATAGATCTTGCTTAACAAGCGTTCTTGGACGAAGGGACACGTCTCAATATGTTTCTGCGTTAATTTAAAACAATGTTGAATGTTGTCTCCCCGTCCCAGGGCTGGAGCTGCGCTTCCGATGGCTCTTCAACGAGTTCCCGGCGCTGGTTCAGCAGGACGCGCGGCGATACGTGTCGCAGGCAGGTGGACCAACTCCAGTGTCGCCCTCAAACCCTCCCATCCCACTCCACTCCCCGCCACACACTCTCCTGCCTCTCATCTCACTCGACTCTCTTCCACGCACTCTCCTACCTCTCCCCTCCCGTCTCACTCTACTCCCCTCCACCCACTCTCCTGCCTCTCCCCTCTCATCTCACTCTACTCCCCTCCACGTACTCTCCTGCCTCTCCCCTCTCATCCCACTCCACTCCCCGCCACGCACTCTCCTGCCACTCCCCTCTCATCTCACTCTACTCCCCTCCACGCACTTTCCTGCCTCGTCCCTCTCATCTCACTCTACTCCCCGCCACGCACTCTCCTACCTCTCCCCTCTCATCTCACTCTACTCCCCGCCACGCACTCTCCTACCTCTCCCCTCTCATCTCACTCTATTCTCCTCCACGCACTCTACTACCTCTCCCCTCTCATCTCACTCGACTCTCTTCCACGCACTCTCCTACCTCTCCTCTTTCATCTCACTCTACTCCCCTCTACGCACTCTCCTACCTCTCCCCTCTCATCTCACTCTATTCTCCTCCACGCACTCTCCTACCTCTCCCCTCTCATCTCACTCCACTCCCCTCCACGCACTCTCCTACCTCTCCCCTCCCGTCTCACTCTACTCCCCTCCACCCACTCTCCTGCCTCGTCCCTCTCATCTCACTCTACTCTCCTCCACGCACTCTCCTACCTCTCCCCTCTCATCTCACTCTACTCCCCGCCACGCACTCTCCTACCTCTCCCCTCTCATCTCACTCTATTCTCCTCCACGCACTCTACTACCTCTCCCCTCTCATCTCACTCGACTCTCTTCCACGCACTCTCCTACCTCTCCTCTTTCATCTCACTCTACTCCCCTCTACGCACTCTCCTACCTCTCCCCTCTCATCTCACTCTATTCTCCTCCACGCACTCTCCTACCTCTCCCCTCTCATCTCACTCCACTCCCCTCCACGCACTCTCCTACCTCTCCCCTCCCGTCTCACTCTACTCCCTTCCACGCACTCTCCTACCTCTCCCCTCTCATCTCACTCGACTCTCTTCCACGCACTCTCCTACCTCTCCCCTCCCGTCTCACTCTACTCCCCTCCACCCACTCTCCTGCCTCTCCCCTCTCATCTCACTCTACTCCCCTCCACGTACTCTCCTGCCTCTCCCCTCTCATCTCACTCTACTCCCCTCCACGCACTCTCCTACCTCTCCCCTCCCGTCTCACTCTACTCCCTTCCACGCACTCTCCTACCTCTCCCCTCTCATCTCACTCGACTCTCTTCCACGCACTCTCCTACCTCTCCCCTCCCGTCTCACTCTACTCCCCTCCACCCACTCTCCTGCCTCTCCCCTCTCATCTCACTCTACTCCCCTCCACGCACTCTCCTGCCTCTCCCCTCTCATCTCACTCTACTACCCTCCACGCACTCTCCTACCTCTCCCCTCTCATCTCACTCCACTCCCCTCCACGCACTCTCCTACCTCTCCCCTCTCATCTCACTCCACTCCCCTCCACGCACTCTCCTACCTCTCCCCTCCCGTCTCACTCTACTCCCTTCCACGCACTATCCTACCTCTCCCCTCTCATCTCACTCGGCTCTCTTCCATGCACTCTCCTACCTCTCCCCTCCCGTCTCACTCTACTCTCCTCCACCCACTCTCCTGCCTCTCCCCTCTCATCTCACTCTACTCCCCTCCACGCACTCTCCTACCTCTCCCCTCTCATCTCACTCGACTCTCTTCCACGCACTCTCCTACCTATCCCCTCCCGTCTCACTCTACTCCCTTCCACGCACTCTCCTACCTCTCCCCTCTCATCTCACTCGACTCTCTTCCATGCACTCTCCCACCTCTCCCCTCCCGTCTCACTCTACTCCCTTCCACGCACTCTCCTACCTCTCCCCTCTCATCTCACTCGACTCTCTTCCACGCACTCTCCTACCTCTCCCCTCCCGTCTCACTCTACTCCCCTCCACCCACTCTCCTGCCTCTCCCCTCTCATCTCACTCTACTCCCCTCCACGCACTCTCCTACCTCTCCCCTCTCATCTCACTCGACTCTCTTCCACGCACTCTCCTACCTCTCCCCTCTCATCTCACTCCACTCCCCTCCACGCACTCTCCCACCTCTCCCCTCCCGTCTCACTCTACTCCCTTCCACGCACTCTCCGCTCCAGCAACCAAGGCTTTCAGGGGAAGTGCCCACGCAACCTCCACTCACCTGGAGGTCGCTCATTCCCCTCTGCTGCCCCCACTGTCTGAAACTCCCTTTCCCCAGCCACCCGTGCTGTCGGCTCCTACCCCCCGTTTAGCTCCAGGCTCAGGACCTTCCTCTTCCACCTCTGCCCATGACCGTCTTCCTCTCCCCCCCCCCTCCCCATTGATTCACACGCAGACACTCACACACAGGGGACTCGCTTGCATTAGAGACATTGCGACTCGCGTAGACGCACGCGATGACTGCATTGTGCACGCCCGAGACCATTGGCCGACTTCCTTAACGTCCTCGCTGACGAAACGCATTGTGAGCCCGCCGTCCCTGCACAGCGCCTTGGGACGAGCTCGCGTTCCGACGCCGCGTTACGTTAACGCCGTCGTCACCGTCGTCACCGTCGTCTCGTCGTCCCGTCCAGGCGACGGGGGACCTGTACGTGGCGCGCGCCGAGGCGGGCGACGGCGGCCGCTACTCCTGCTACGTCACCGCCTCCATCATGGGCAGTCACACGAGCGTGCTGAGCTCCTTCGTCTCGCTGGGGCTCAAGAAGGACGGTGAGGAGGGGCGGTGACGGGGGAGATGAGGCAGGTGATGATGGTGGCGGTGAGGGAGGTGAGGGAGATGAGGGTGGTGAAGATGGTGACGGTGAGGGAGGTGAGGGAGATGAGGGTGGTGAAAATGGTGACGGTGAGGGAGGTGAGGGTGGTGATGACAGTCAGTGAGGTGAGGATGGTGAGGGCGGTTAGGGGGCTGCTACTGATGACATATTTTAGACACCAAGGCGCACTGCCACAGGTGGGACTGGCCACAGCGGACCGAGTTCTCTGTGGGGAGGAACAATCTGGAAAAACTACTCACTTCTAAATCTTTTGTAGTAATTTTTTTATTACTTTAGTATAAATACATGTTCATTTTGATTCATATGTTGTTTTTTTCTGACTTTATGTGAACGCAAAGACACAAATTCGCCTGTTTTCTCATTGAAAATAGGTACATTTCAAAATATCACTGTCCTGATCACAAAAGCAAAGTTTGTGGAGAATAATATCCATTTTCTACACTTTTTAGGCATAAGCAATTACGAAATAACACTTACTCCCCAGGAACAAAAATTGTGTTACATAGTGGAATCATCTAATACGAAGCAAACTTTTGCATGAAGTCGCATCGCGCCCTAGGGACTCTCGCCCGACTGTAAAGCGATCCCATCTGTGAAAAGGTGACCCAACACTCGACGACGAAAGCCCCAGCGCTAAAGTGTGTGTGTGCGCGTGTGTGTGTGTGTGCGTGTGTGCGTGCACGTGTGTGTGTGCGCATGTGTGTGTGTGCGTGTGTGTGTGCGTGTGTGTATGTGTACGTGCGTGTGTGCGTGCGTGTGTGTGCGTGTGTGTATGTGTACGTGTGTGTGTGTGCGTGCGCGTGTGTGTGTGCGTGTGTGTGTGTACGTGCGTGTGTGTGTGCGTGCGTGTGTGTGCGTCCGCGTGTGTGTGTGCGTGTGTGCGTGTGCACGTGTGTGTGCGCGTGTGTGTGTGCGTGCGCGTGTGTGCGTGCGTGTGTGTGCGTGCGTGTGTGTGTGTGTGTGCGTGTGTGTGTGTGTGCGTGTGTGCGTGTGTGTGCGTGTGTGTGTGCGTGCGTGTGTGTGTGCGCGTGTGTGTGTGTGTGTGCGTGTGCATGCGCGTGTGTGTGTGCGTGCGCGTGTGTGCGTGCGTGTGTGTGCGTGTGCGTGTGTGTGCGTGTGCGTGTGTGTGTGCGTGTGTGTGTGCGTCCACAGCCACGCCGGCCGTGAAGCTGGCCCCGCACGTCGAGCTGGCGCTGCCCCCTGTGACGCGCGTCCTCGCGGGCCGCGACGTCCGCCTCGAGTGCTTCGCTCTCGGCAAGTGAGTCCCTGGAGCAGGGCGGGGAGAGACCGCGTCGCTCACCACCATCACCACGCTCACCGCCATCACCACGCTCACCGCTGATACCGCCGATACCGCCATCACCGGGCTCACCGCCACTACCGCCATCACCGCGCTCACCGCCATCACCACGCTCACCGCCGATACCGCCATCACCACGCTCACCGCCATCACCACGCTCACCGCCATCACCGCGCTCACCGCGCTCACCGCCATCACCACGCTCACCGCCATCACCACGCTCACCGCCATCACCGCGCTCACCGCCATCACCGCCATCACCGCGCTCACCGCCATCACCACGCTCACCGCCATCACCACGCTCACCGCCATCACCGCGCTCACCGCCATCACCGCCATCACCACGCTCACCGCCATCACCGCGCTCACCGCCATCACCGCCATCACCACGCTCACCGCCATCACCACGCTCACCGCCATCACCGCGCTCACCGCGCTCACCGCCATCACCGCGCTCACCGCCATCACCACGCTCACCGCCATCACCACGCTCACTGCCATCACCACGCTCACCGCCATCACCGCGCTCACCGCCATCACCGCCATCACCACACTCACCGCCATCACCGCGCTCACCGCCGCTACCGCCGCTGCCATAGCTGTCAAACCGTACGGTTCACCCCGTGTTCTTGTACTGGGAAATTGAGTTTTCAGGTCCATACGGCGTACAGCCGTTTCACTACGGGCAATACAAAATGTTTGTCTGTTTGTTTGTGTTTCTCGCTTGTGATGGGAATTTGCAAGATGAACGTTGAGATTTAGAAGGGCACGGGGTGATCAATGAGGTCTGAATTGGTCTGTAATAAGGTAGGGCACTGATAAGGGGTTGACAGATATGCGCTATTGCCATCACCACACTCACCGCCAACACCACCACTACCGCCATCACCATCGCTACTGATGGTGGTGCCCCAAGTCTGTGTGAGGCTATATAGAGGATATTTGTATTTGTTGTGTCTTTGTATATGAGCGTGTGTGTCTTTGTCCGCGATTTAACCGGGCTGCCGAGTGCGTCTGTACGTGCGCGCGTCGTTGCGTACGTGCCTGAATGCTCGTCTCCGCATGTGCGTCTCTCTGCCCACGCGTGCACGTCTGTATGCGGGTCTCTATGTGCGTCTGTGGGTGCGTGCGTGTGCGCGTGCCCGCCCGCGCGTGCCTTCGCGTACGTGTAGCCCCGTGCCGGAGATGTCGTGGCGCCGTGTCGGGGCCGAGCTGCCCGCGGGGGCGAGGGTCACGGCGTCCGGGGCGGCGCTGGAGATGGGGAGCGCGCGCTCCGAGCACGGCGGCACATACGAGTGCGAGGCGCGTAACGCCAAGGGCTCCGCACGGTCATCCACGCTCCTCGTCGTGAACGGTGGGATGAGGGCCCCCCTCCCTCCCCCCAGCTCCCCCACCACACACACACCTCTCATCGTCATCGCTCACCTGGCCTTCACGTCTGCCTGCCCGCCGTACCTTTCTTCATTATTGACGACTTGCAGCTCGGCACACGGCAGATGCCTGCGCAGCGCGACTCACGACCTCCTCTTGATACCAAGATCCAGGATGGTCATCGTGTCTATGCGCCGCTTCTCGGTGGCAGCCCCAACAGTATGGAAGGCCGTCACCCCTCTGCACATTCGCAGCATCACCTCAATCGCCTCCTTCAAGAGACACTTAAAAACTCACCTCTACAATCATGCTTTCGAGCGATTCTGAGCTTGGCTCCGCGCCTCTAGAGTTGCGGCCGTTACGTCCGCAAATTTGCGCGCGTTATAAATTGCATTATTATTATTATTATCATAGCGTGCCTACCCCCGCCATGCAGAACCTCCAAGTGGTTTAACTCCATCCCACCACGTGCTCCGTCGCATTCTCCGCGAGGGTAAGCGACGTCGCAAGCGTCGTCGCTTCGCCTCCCCCCGCCGTCTCACACGGCCGCCGGGGATCGCAGTGGCAGTTCGTTCTCCGCAAATTGATTCGGTTCGGTGACTTCCGGAGTGCAGCACGAATGATAAAACTAAGCCACGGAAAGTTTCGAGCAGATGCAGGCTGTATTTTTCACGTGACAAAAAAAGCGCCACACATTCAAAAAGTCGACGTTTTCAAGCGGTTGTCCTTAGTGTGGTGTAGCGGTTAGCGCGCTGCGCTATGAACCTGACGACCCAGATTCGATTCCCTCTCACGGCTAACACCAGTGACGATTAACTGAACCGGTCCTGGGCCTCCCCTAGGTCGACTCAGCCTTAAATGAGTACCTGGTGCGGTGTGTAAACATCGCCACTAGGGAGACAAAGGCGGTCGGGCGTGGTGCTGGCCACCCACCCCCTCGTGTACCGTTCCGGCCTTCATAGCTGCTCGCTAATAGCACTTGCCCCTACAGTCTCGGGCCAAAAGAGCCCAAGATAGCACAAACACGTTAACAAACAAGGATACACGAGTCAAATGCGATTGAGGTTATCGCATAGAATCGACAGCTTTGCGTCAAATCGTGCCTCGGATGTGCTGCGCAAGCAAGGGAGCGATGGAGAGCGCGACCGTTGCCCTGTCTCGCCCGCGTCGCCCTCCTCCCCAGAGCCACCCAGCTGGGTGCGAGGGATCCCTCCGGCTGAGTTGGATATCGGCGACCGCCTCTCGTGGGCGTGCGAGGCGCGGGGCCACCCGGCGCCGTTCTACCGCTGGCTCCGGGACGGAGAGCCGCTGCGGCCTGGAGTGAGCGCCGCTCGCGACTTCACTTTGATATTTTCGTCTCGTTTTTCATTCACTCAAATAATTTCTTTCTAGATTTGAAGCTTTCGTGACTGCAAGGATTCATATTCTTAGGTTTTTTCGGTAAAGTCACGTAGGTAAAAAATTCACCCGTAAAAACAAAGTTTTTCACTATAAATCCTTTATATGCGTGGCATCGGTTTTATTTTATTATTCATTTCTGTTTTTCTTGAGTAAGAGTTTCATTTTTATCACATTGGTATTTTAAATTAAATATGAAATTTTTTTTTTCCTAAAGAGTGGAAAATTTTGGAATTTTTTTTCACGAAAATAAATTGTCACGCACAACGAGTCTGTGTGCAAAATGTCAGCTCGATTGGATCACGGGAAGTGGGTTAAAAAACGACCGAAAGATTTGCACGGTCGTAAGCACGCAAGCAAGCAAGCAAGTGAACTTAATATAAAGGATTAAAAAAAATTAAAATTTAAATTAATAAAAGTAAAATTAAATTAAAATTAAAATCACGACGTTTCGGAGGCAACACAAGCTTCACAACACAAGCTTCCGTCTTCAGGTGGAACCGTCACAGCACGCTTGCTGACTTGGCTCATCCCCCCCTCAACCAGTATTTATACGGGGTAGTATCTCTTGGAATTTCTCATTCACTCAAATAATTTCAGCTGGGTCCTCTTCTTTGTACGGCCGATGTTCATGGAGTGCAACAGTAATAGGGTAAAAACAGTAATAGGGTAAAAACAGTAATAGGGTAAAAACAGTAATAGGGTAAAAACAGTAATAGGGTAAAAACAGTAATCGGGTAAAAACAGTAATAGGGTAAAAACAGTAATAGGGTATAAACAGTAATAGGGTTAAAACAGTAATAGGCAAAAACAGTAATAGGGTTAAAACAGTAATAGGGTTAAAACAGTAATAGGCAAAAACAGTAATAGGGTAAAAACAGTAATAGGGTAAAAACAGTAATAGGGTAAAAACAGTAATAGGGTAAAAACAGTAATCGGGTAAAAACAGTAATAGGGTAAAAACAGTAATAGGGTATAAACAGTAATAGGGTTAAAACAGTAATAGGCAAAAACAGTAATAGGGTTAAAACAGTAATAGGGTTAAAACAGTAATAGGCAAAAACAGTAATAGGGTAAAAACAGTAATAGGGTAAAAACAGTAATAGGGTAAAAACAGTAATAGGGTAAAAACAGTAATAGGGTAAAAACAGTAATAGGGTAAAAACAGTAATAGGGTAAAAACAGTAATAGGGTAAAAACAGTAATAGGGTAAAAACAGTAATAGGGTAAAAACCTATTACTATATCCTGCTACTGGCAAAGGATGTCTCATAATGTAAATGCTTACCCCGAGCTTTCAATACTCTGATAGTGCGCTGTTTTTGAGTTGTACGCCTTTTGGCGTCATCTGGTCCAACACCAGTGGAGACTGGGCTCTAAGGAAAGCCGTTTCGGGTATGGACCAATCAACTTCAAGGACAGTGCATATCATTATCAGAGTTGTCTCTTTTTGTTTGCATTTTGACCGCTTGTGTTGTGGTTATTGCAAACATGATGATCCCTTGTATAAAGGTGTCAGTTTTGGTGCCAAATAAAAGGGTAACAACCTATTACTATAGCTGTAATTTCATATCGAGGTGGTTGATGAGCCAGATGATTGCATCAGGAGCAGCGGGGTGGTGCATCATCGCTGTGACGATGCCTACTCCTTCGTATTTGTAAATCGAGCATCGAGTCGTTATACGTTCCATTCTGTTCTGTTCTGAGTGGTGACCACAGTCGCTGCACACCGCTGTAGAGTTTGTTTTTATTTCCCCGTTGTGCATCAAGTACCCGCATCTGCTTTCGCCATGGTTCCGCCACGGTTTCCCGCACCTCCGATTAGCACGGTTGGCTACGTACGGCGCGAAAGAAGTTCAACATACATTCCTGAACGTCTCATTTGCAAGGGCGTCCCCGGGTGTCGATTGACACGCGCATCGCAAACACGTAATGACACTTACACAGACATTGTTAACTAACGCAGGATACATTCATACAATGAATCTCATCAAGTCAGTGTTGTAGCCCGTCTCCCTGGTTCCCGCTGAAGGCTGGCTCCCCCAGGGGAACGGATATTTGTTCTCACCGGCAGATGCTTGTTCTCCCCGACTTATTCGTTCCGCTCGGTTAGGATTAGGACTTAGGGGGTCAGAGGGCAGTGGTGCCGCCGATGTTGCCACCTCAGTTGGGGGCAAAAAAAGGGGACACGTCACGGCAAGTGGAGTAATAATTGGCAATACTGGAAGAGGAGAGAACTGCACATACACTCATCGACTTGGGCGACGTATTATAACGACATCATTATTATTACTACGCAACTGACAAAAGGCATTTCAGTGTCCCCGGGGAAGACTTGGAGAATTTCCGCAGACACCAGCTACCTCCTCACCAAAGAGGGCGGTCCTGGGAAAACCACGAGAAGGTGGCACTGCGCTGTTTGCAGGCCTCTGCCCGTCGTGAACCAGGCCGGGGGTGCGGGGCTGCTGGATTGTTGTTGTTGTTGTTGTTTCCGGCAGGGCCCGGTGGAGCTGGGGGACGATGGGACGCTCACGATCTCGGCGGTGGAGCTCAGCCACTCGGGGATGTACCAGTGCGAGGCGTGGAATGGCAACGGCTCCATCTACTCCGCTGCCGAACTCCGCGTGCGCGGTGAGTCTGCGAGACTCTTGTTGTTGCTGTTGTTATTACCCCAGTTTCGTGCCGGATTATTCTAGGAGCCAAAGTAGCGACGTCTGTAGCTACGGGCCCTCGCACTTTCGAGGGCCCCGCGCTAAATGCTTTCAAGCATTCAATTCTGGTTCAGTGATTCGGCACAGTGATTCTGCACTATTACTATAGTACTATACTGCCTTCAATTTTTATGAACGACTGGGTGTTTAAGGTTAGCGATTTGTCGTAGTATCTGGCTGTATAGCAAATGGAAAAATACAGTTACTTTACTATGCAAGCTAAACATGTGTGTTTTATTATTTATGTATTTATTATTGAGGACCCCTTCATAACATATGCTACAGGCCCCGCACTAGCTTCATCCGGCACTGACCACAGTTGTATATTCTTCTACAATGCTCCTTTCCGCGCGTCCGATGCACGGCTACACTTCCAACAATAAACACCCCGCGTGGTATTACAGTGTGTGCGCCTCCTTAGGGGCCATCCATTTAATACGCACGCAAAAATCTGCCAAAACTTGACCCCCCCCCCCTCCCTGTACGCACGCAAACTTTTTACCCCCCCCCCCCCTACCTGCGTACGTACTCCTATAGAACGGCCGATATTTAATCCACGCAGAAACGATCAAGGATTAATAATATTCACGTGTTTAAGCAAACAGATAGTCCACCGCCGGACTATCTAACTCATTTGAAGGCCAATGTAGACTAATTATTATCGAGGCTTCACCTCCCCCTGTTTCCTATGCGTACGCACATTGTCAGTAGACCCCCCATACGCAAGTGAACGCATTTGGGTTACCCCCCCTCCCTCCATGCGTACGTACTCAGTGGACGGTGCCTTACTTACAGAGCTCATTGCTGGGATGTTACGGGGGAATGGTTGCCCGTTTTTCTCTCTCTCTGCATAAACACAAGAGGGCGGGGGGGGGGCGGCAGAAAAAACGAGGGGTCAGGGGGTGCGGGAGGGCGAGGAGCTCTGAGCGTGTCGATGGGTGGCGTCGGTTTCCCTCGGTTAGACCTTGCGGCGGTGCGCTCGTGCATGGCCTCGTGTCGTGAGAGGAAGAAAGTCCACGTTTGGGACTCACGCGGTGAGCAGTGCCACCACCTTCGTGTCAGGGGCCGTCCATAAATGACGTCACGCACCTAGGGGGGGGGAGGGGGGTCAGACATTTGTGACGATGTGTGACGATGGGGGTGGGGGGGGTGTGAAATGTGACGTCACGTCAAAATGCACAACTTTAAATAAATATAGACAACACGTTCTACCTAATTAAATAGACTTTTTAATAAATGTTTTCTCCTACAACATCAGAGTGTAGCGCCACATTAAATACGCACTACAATGACAATAGTTTAAAGCGATTTGAAGCATGTTTTATTTTGGGGGGGGGGGGGGGCAGAGCTTTGTGACGTCATATTTGAGGGGGGGTCTGACTTTTCGTGACGCCGTGTGACGAAGGTGGGGGGGGGGGTCAAAAATCGTTCAAAATCGCGTGACGTCATTTATGGACGGCCCCTCAAGGTATGGATCCGGAACGCGACGTCACAGAACCACCATCCGAATTCACTTTGAATAGTTCCCTATCAGCACCACGAATACGCTCGTGTTGTACATGCCCCATAAAGTGTGTCCGCTGCCCGACAGTCGAACCGACACGTAGAATTCTCAAGAGCGAGAACTACATCTGATGTGACGGCTCGATTGGGCACTCATCGGTGACCGTGCGGAGACCATTTTCAAGTTTTAATTTCAAGTTTCATTTATTAGGTATAGCCCTGTGAGCCATGCGGCTCTTGAGTCGGGTGCAACCGCAACAAACAAAAACATGAACAGAGAACATCTTAAAGCGACGACGCGCAACAGAAACATCCTGGATAGCAAATCTTGCAGAAGAAAACCCACCGTATTACAACGCTGTGTGCAAAAATCCCAGTGTGATGCAAGTCAAACAATAACAACCGTAAGACAATTTAGATTAAAGTTATCAGGCCAACTCCGCACTTCCGCAAGAAACATGGCTTAACCATATGTTTTCGAAATCACCAAAATACAGCAAAAAAAACAATGTAACAACATTCATAATCAACGTTTTTGGGTTTAGATCGCGTTATTTATAAATGTGTCGTAACCCTCCACCACCCGACACGGCCAATCAGTAAAAAAGTGTCACGTTGACAAAAGACAAATAGTTCACTGCTTTAGCCCACCGGTGTGTATTGAAGCATGAAATCACAACATTTACAATTTGAGTACGACGTTTCGCTGGTAATTGCATCCAGCATCAACGTGACACTTTTTTACTGATTGGCCGTGTCGGGTGGTGGAGGGTTACGACACATTTATAAATAACGCGATCTGAACCCTAAAACGTTGATTATGAATAATATTGGTCGCGAAAGCCTGCTACGTGTTAAATGTAACAACAGTAATCATTTACCTTGCCGCACTTGGGAACCCGGTATAATCACGGGCTGCTGAAGACCCAGATTCGAACCCAGGTACCCCTCCGTCCGCTGTTGCACCGGGTTTGTGTTCGCACGTCCGCAGCTATTCTTTACTTTGTTTTATTCGGGTGGAGCTTCTTTTAGAGAGGGGTTCAGCCACTAGTCGAGCAGATTGACTCGAACTGTTGCACGTTGAACTTCTTTCGCGCCGTACGTAGCCAGCCATGTTCATCGGAAGTGCGGGCGTGGGGGCGGTGAAGGACAAACAGCAATATTTGAAGTGGGCTGTCAAGGCACCCCGGTGGGACCTCATGGCAACGAACACTCTTGCGTTCGCTCGACAAACACTCGATGTTGTGATTGAAAGGCTGAATTGGGGGAGCTCTCGCGTCCTCTTCCGACCCGCACCTGACCCCCACGTGCAAAACAGAGGGTAGGAAGAGAAAATCATCCAGGGGATTATTATCAGCGAGACTTGCTAACCTGTAACATCAAGCCTCTGCTTGGGGTAGCTGCCCTGGGGAATCTGTATGTATTGCCAGACACTTTATTCACCACAATTCCTTTGACCAGTTGCGTAAAGGTGCCGTCCATAAATGACGTCACGCGCCTAGGGGGGTGGGAGGGGGGTCAGACATTTGTGACGATGTGTGACGAGAGGGGGGGTCACATCAAAATGCGCAAACTTTAAATAAATATAGACAACACGTTCTTCTTAATTAAATAAACTTTTAAACAAATGTTTTCTCCTACATCAGTGCAGCGCCACATTAAATACGCACCACAATGACAATAGTTTAAAGCGATTTGAAGCATGTTTTATTTTCAAAATGGAAATATGGTTTTGGGGGGGGGGGGGGCAGAGTTTTATGACGTCATATTAGAGGAGGCTCTGACTTTTTGTGACGCCGTGTGACGAGGGGGGGAGGGGGGGTCAAAAATCAGCCAAAATTGCGTGACGTCATTTATGGACGACTCCAAATACATCGCCACCGATTTTAAACGGTTCAGGGAAACTTATGCTCAAGTTGTTGTTTTGTTTAATGCACCTAACCCTCGCTTTTTAATAATTTACACAATAATCTCAAGACAATGCATTCGGATGGAGCTCTCTCATTTTCCGTCACCGTGCGATATTTGTATTTCTACGACACGTGGGGTCACCGTGTGATTTTGGACCTCAGAGGGTGGGCGACCCTGTTCTCGTCGTCGCTGGTGAGAATTACGGGAGATTGAACTCTGATTCTGTGGGTTTGGGGGTCCTCTTGAGTGCGACCTCCAGACCCTGTCGTGAGTCGTTTATTGCTCTGACCCCGCACCTCCAATTACCGCGGTTGGCTACGTACGGTGCGAAAGAAATTCAACATACGTAAAAATGATAATTGTTTTTTACCTTTTTATCTGGCAACAAAACTGACACCTTTTTTTACAAGGAGTCATGTTTGCATAGACCACAATGCCTGCAGTCGTAATGCAAACAAAAAACATAACTCTGATAATGTATGCATTTGTCCTTGAAGTTGATTGGTCCTCACCCGAGACAGCTTTCCTTAGAACCTAGTCTCACATGGTGTTGGACCAGATGACGCCAAAAGGCGCACGTAAAAGTATAAGTTTTACCCTTTCTGGCAATAAAACAGGTGAAAGGTCCTGTGTTATACGTAACGGATATTTCTATATATATTTTTGAACCGAACCCCAGCGACGAAAATAAATGAAAACACGATACGGAAAGGTTCCGATTCGGTCAAACCTTAGGGAACTTGTGGCAGTCCCGTTTAGCGGGAACGTCTGATGAGCGATCCGGATCTACGAGGAGTCGCCACTGACACAATACTGGGGCGGAGTGATTCGGTACTGGGGCGGAGTGATTCGGCTAACCGAGGCGGAGTGATTCCGTACTGGGTCCGAGTGATTTGGTACTGGGGCGGAGTGATTCCGTACTGGGTCCGAGTGATTCGGCTAACCGGGGCGGAGTGATTCCGTACTGGGTCCGAGTGATTCGGTACTGGGGCGGAGTGATTCGGTACTGGGGCGGAGTGATTCGGCTAACCGAGGCGGAGTGATTCCGTACTGGGTCCGAGTGATTTGGTACTGGGGCGGAGTGATTCCGTACTGGGTCCGAGTGATTCGGCTAACCGGGGCGGAGTGATTCCGTACTGGGTCCGAGTGATTCGGTACTGGGGCGGAGTGATTCCGTACTGGGTCCGAGTGATTCGGTACTAGGGCGGAGTGATTCCGTACTGGGTCCGAGTGATTCGGTACTGGGGCGGAGTGATTCCGTACTGGGTCCGAGTGATTCGGCTAACCGGGGCGGAGTGATTCCGTACTGGGTCCGAGTGATTCGGTACTGGGGCGGAGTGATTCCGTACTGGGTCCGAGTGATTCAGCTAACCGGGGCGGAGTGATTCTGTACTGGGTCCGAGTGATTCGGTACTGGGGCGGAGTGATTCCGTACTGGGTCCGAGTGATTCGGTACTGGGGCGGAGTGATTCTGTACTGGGTCCGAGTGATTCGGTACTGGGGCGG